AAATGTAGAATGTAAAAAACTGCTTTAAATTACCGTTGAATTATTTAAAATTAAAATTGTGAAATGTTCCAATGGAGGTTTTTAGAGATTTGTGTTAATACCCGCCACCAATAATTATTATCCTTTTCGGATGAGAACACATGGATTACATTTTTATATGTATGACTTTTAATGACAATAATATTGCCCCTGAAAACTTGAAGATGCGTTTTAAGAATGAATTAAATTACACTCACATAATGTTCCTTCTGAATGCATTGGCGGATTCGAACCTTTTGGGAGGATGGGTGGAGGGGTATCGATGATGGGTGTGTGTGTTGTGCATAATTATTTCGAAAAAGCATGGGGGATATTTGACCTAACCTTTACGCTAAGAGCGGTGGCGTGACCAGGCTGGGGACACTGGTAGATTGCAACATCATGGAGATCGGGAAAGCTGATAGAAGCGAAATCGGGACTGTGAACAATTATATTTTGCAACCACGGCTACTCATGGGGACACGAGATGGGAAAACCGTACGAACTTTTTTCAGTATTGCGCCTGAGTTTTAGATACTGGGTACGCCTCTAGAGGAGAGCACAATTATGCACATTTCTTTGTTCTATTTTGTGTGCGTGTTGAACAGCTGGGGGAGGGGCGTGCATCCCCCCAGTATCCAACTGTACAAAAGTGTATCTGATAACGGCACCATCATGTCCTTAGGAGGGATAATGGAAAACAAGTGTTCTGGGTGTTGTCCCTTCAGAACTGTCGCGAATTTATATTTAAGGACAACGCAACAACTACGAAAAATAGCAAATGGCACTTAAACAACTGGATGCAACTTTTTTTTGCAACGCGCACCAGTATTTTAAAACGGAAAAATAAATACGAAGAATAAAATGGACGAAACTTTAAAATGAAAATGCAGCTTGGTAACCCATTTTGAATTTTGTTGGGGAAATAACTACTACAGGTCAAAAATATTACTTTTAAGGACATAAAAATATACCTTTTCATACAAAACTACGGAAATAAAGGTGCGCGTAACGCAACTTTTGCCCCACGCGCTGAAAAATGGCGCCGCCCATGGCAGAACGCGCGTGTGTACGCACTGCCCATAGATATAGAATTTTTATTATATTCTATGGCACTGCCGATCTAGTCTTTTTTATTCTATATCTATGCGTGAAACTTAAATTCCACACGCACCTTGCTTTTGCCCAATAGAACAACGTGATAGAGTTTGAATTTATCTCTTCGTGGAAACTCAAAATAAGATTCAGGTGAAATTTTCCCTACATTGATTGTCATGATTTCGTTGACTTTAATTGATTTTGACCAAAAAAACTTCTCCAAAACGTTTGTTGATGTTCACTTAACCGAGTCAGCCGGAAAAAGTGTTTACAAAAAATATGGGTTTTTTCCCGGTCTCATCCGTCCCTTCGTGAAAACGGTTTTATTATTATGTCTATGGTCTGCACCGTTTATATTAAACATGGCGGCTTCCTTGATGATGCAGTTGATACAGTGAATCTTTTCTTGCGAGGGGCAGAATAATTTCGGGTCCTTTTTTTTGGGGGGGGGGGGGCAGGGGCTGGTGGGCAGTGGGAATTAGCTAGGGGGTTTCTCCCTCCCCCTGGTTACGCCACGGCGAAAAAACAGTGCAACCGAATGGAATTTGTCAATGCAATTTCAGTGCTGGAAAGGGAAAATAAGAGCGTTTCAAGACGTAGGCGTGTTCAACTCAGTTCAAATTTCAAGGGGGCTGCAGGGCATCTTCTAGTTAACGCATTGTAACGAAACCTTGGGAAGTTTTAGACCTATTATTAAAGTGCCATTTAAAGTACAAAACATGATTATATCTCTGACGGTTGTTTTTTAAAGCAATTTTCAAAGGAAAAGAGGTCTTTTCATTGTAACTTCCGGTCTGATGACGTAATCATTTTTTTTTTCGCGCACAGATCTTTTCCGCATTAAGGTCATCATGTATATTAATTTTGGAGCAATTACCGCAAGTTTCGCCAGACATCAACTGCAAATGCGTTTTGGACATTTTTTAATCTGCCGCTAGAGGGCGCTCCAACACTTCATGGCGTCACCCGTCTTTTTTTTTGAAAGGTCAATCCAGGCAGACACTAACATCGTTAATACAAAAAGCAAGTTCATATCTTTTCCCACTTTCAAATTATTAGGACTTGCGGTTTCGACCGGAAGGAAGGGTCACGTGATTTTATGCGCACAGGATAAAATGAAGAGCATATTATCATATGGATTCCCGCAAAATTCAAGTTCCGGTCTCACACGTTTGATTTTATATTGAATTTCAAAGATTTAATTTATTAATTTTTCAGCTGATACAGTGAATCTTTTCTTGCGATGGGCAAAATAATTTCGGGTCCTTTTTTGGGGGGCGGGGGCTGGTGGGCAGTGGGAATTAGCTAGGGGGTTTCTCCCTCCCCCTGGTTACGCCACGGCGAAAAAACATAGTGCAACCGAATGGAATTTGTCAATGCAATTTCCGTGCTGGAAAGGGAAAATAAGAGCGTTTCAAGACGTAGGCGTGTTCAACTCAGTTCAAATTTCAAGGGGGCTGCAGGGCATCTTCTAGTTAACGCATTGTAACGAAACCTTGGGAAGTTTTAGACCTATTATTAAAGTGCCATTTAAAGCACAAAACTTGATTATATCTCTGACGGTTGTTTTTTTTTTATAGCATTTTTCAAAGGAAAAGAGGTCTTTTCATTGTTACTTCCGGTCTGATGACGTAATCAATTTTTTTTTCGCGCACAGATCTTTTCCGCATTAAGGTCATCATGTATATTGATTTTGAAGCGATTACCGCAAGTTTCGCCAGACATCAACTGAAAATGCGTTTTGGACATTTTTTAATCTGCCGCTAGAGGGCACTCCAACACTTCATGGCGTCACCCATCTTTTCTTTTGGAAAGGTCAATCCAGGCAGACACTAACATCGTTAATACAAAAAGCAAGTTCATATCTTTTCCCACTTTCAAATTATTAGGACTTGCGGTTTCGACCGGAAGGAAGGGTCACGTGATTTTAATGCGCACAAGATAAAATGAAGAGCATATTATCATATGGATTCCCGCAAAATTCAAGTTCCGGTCGCTCACGTTTGATTTTATATTGAATTTCAAAGATTAAATTTATTAATTTTTCAAGTGACGTCACGTGACCCATGATGACCTCATAATGATGTAATTACAAAAAAGCACATCTTCAGTGGGTTGTGTATTCATGTATTGACAACTGAAGTTCACATATGTTTTCATTTTGACAAACAGTTCTGGAGAAGAATTTGCCGAGAACAATAATAACAACAATAGTAAATTCTTACAATAACAATAGGTGTTGGGCTCAGTCCCAACACCTAATAATCGGCATTTAAGAACGCTCTTATTAGTAAACTAAATCACAGCGCTTACAGTATTATTATTACTCCTGATCATTGGGCCAATTAAACATTCCAAATACCATCTCAGCTCCCTGGGGAGTATACAGCTCAATGCTGCCTGTTAGGCGCAAGCAAGCTTATTCAATCACAATAACCATCTCTGCCCTCACAGGTACCCATTTACTCCTGTGTGGAGAGAAGCAATGAGTGACAAAGTGCCTTGCTCAAGGGCACAGGCACTCGAACCCACAGCTTTACCCACAGACCACGAATCCAGTGCCCTTAACCATGAGGCCACAGCACCCCGGCTAACTTTGAAAGATTTTTTGTTAAAAAACGAGTTTGACAACAAAATTGACACATGGATTTTTTTGGGCAAGATTTCTGGCAGAATTCTGCAAAAATGAATATTTGACAGAAAAACATAGGAAATTTGAGAAAACTGGTGCATTTGTTTTTAAAAAGCTTCAATCTTTTCAACAAACCCTTCCATAATGGGACAGGTTAGCTGGTCTAGGTGCTGAGGTTCACTGGGAACCGGACTTTGTCGCGACACAACCCAGCGTTTTGCCTGAAATTTACGCAATTTTACAACATGTTTAACTTTATGTGCAGTGTTGTAGTACTCGTATTCGGTACTCGAGTACTACTCGAGTACTTTTTTTTCGAGTTCGAGTACTCAAAGGTCAAAGTACTCATACTCGAAATGACGATACTTATACTCAGGCAGCAAAGTACTCGTACTTGACATGTCGAAATTGTACTCGATCATCAAAGTACTTGTACTCGAATAGCAGTACTCGAATAGCAGTACTCGAAAAAAAAGAAAGGGTATTTAATACCACTTCCTTATTTTATCGGTACTTTCAGTTTGAAATGGTTGATTGGCTTGCGGAAAAAATGAAGTTTCCTGACTTTCTTCTGTGCACGTCCGGTCAAACACATTTAACAGCTGGCCTTGAGTGGGTCTGTATATCGGTCTGACTGGGCCTGGGCCAATTATGCACAATGAACCATTTGCCGTATGGCCGTATTCGGAAAGAGAAGTACTCGTAATACAAGTATTTGTATTCGTACTCAGAAGTACAAGTACTCATACTCGTACTATGACGTACAAGTACTCGTACTCTGAGACCTGTACTTGTACTCGGAAGTACTCATACTCGTTAACCGAAGTACTCGACAGTATTCGGTAAAAAAAGTACTTGACTACAACACTGTTTATGTGGCTACAGGTATTAAAATGTTATTTGAACCTTAAATAAGGCAATACTACATCTGCATGTGATTTTAAGTGTGTAGAATGTATTTCGAGTAATTCTGGGGAATTTGGCAGATTTTTGATGAATCTGACAGATTTTTGAATTGCATTTGGCAGAATTTGGCCACGACCTTACGGTCACCCTGGTCAAGGATGGGCGTTATTCTTCATTATGCCATAGCAGGTCACAAATAATTCGGACTTCTTCTTTAACATGGAGATCACTGGAGTGAATTTGGCACAAACGCGTCCCCAGTGCTTACTTCAGTTTCAACCTGTTTCCAATACAATGTAGTAATTTTTTTTGGGAAACCACAGTATAAAAGTGCAATTCAAACAAATCAATCTATCTTTGTTTTAATGTAACATAATAAACTGTTAAAGACACTGAATGAGTACCAACCCCAGTCGTTCAGCATTTTGTTCATCAAAAACAGTTCCTTTCAATTCTTGTTTTATCACAAATGTTATGCATGGATTACGTCCATAATCTTGACATGCATTCATACATATTGATAATGCAAAATCTTCACTGTTATTGGAGGGATCTACATGGATAAATGATCCCCATTTCTTGTTTCAATGTTGAATACACAAGCGTATATGCCAGCATATTTGCTGCTATCATAGAAATAATGATACTGATTGAGTGCGAGGGGAAAGGTTCTCACTTCTGACCAACCCTATTTTGAGCTGTGGACCAAGGAAATTTTTTTTTTTTTTTAAATTACCGCCGACCCTGTCTGGAACCCCTACTAACAAAGCAAACCAAGAAAAATTATGAAAAAAAAAAGAGTATCAAATTCAGGCAATCAATCTATGTTTATTTGAAAAGCTACGGAAAGAATTATATCCATTATACTTGAAGTATGGTGCATGCAGCAACCACTACAATCCAAGAAGATGTGAGAGTGTTGTCTCTTATCAACATTATCAAAGAACCATAGGGATGCCCCTATATAGTCAGAATAAACCCTCACTAGTCCAAAACAAAAGTGCACAATGAAATAAACATTTGTCGAAAGCACATTAGATGTGAAGGGGCTTACTGTAATCGTTCATTTTAGTATTATGCAGTCAAATAATTATTGTCAGCACATACATTTGTCAGCAAAGCTGTGGGTGGAGCTTGCAGTAAAAGCGGTAAACAAATACAACATTGTTGGAGAAAGGGTGCATCATTTCTGGTCGCGAATTGCTGGCAGATTGACTTCTTCATGATGTCAACTGGAGGGAAGCAGTGTAGCAATTTTATGATCGTAGCCCACAATTCATAATTGCAGATTCATATGGGAAACAAATCATCTACCTTTTATCCCAATTAATGCCATAAAACCATGAAGTGGGGATGCTTTCAAAATGATTTTCTTCAAACGGATGAAAAATATTGTCAAATTGGTGGACAACATTGCTAAAAATGACAGGTTTTGTACCAATTTTCTCCTCAAGTTTTAAGTTGCTGTACCCTTCCTCTTCATCTATTATATTTATATCTTACGACTTTTCCATTTGCATCTTTTAGTAAAATGGGGGGGGGGGGGGGGGGGGGGGAGAGAGACCCGGATCTTTTTTACACTCTGAAAGTATGCTTTTGGTTTCAATTGTTTTGTAATGTTTTTTATTTGTGGGTTGATTGTGCTTGAATGATTGTAGGGCCGCAAATAACCAAAATTTGAAAAATAAAATATTCCATGTATATAACTCAATACGGGTGTACATTTGTACTTTCATGTTTGACGTCTCATTCAAATGTGAATACCTTGTGAGTTGCAGTTTCAAAACAAACTGTATTTCTCGAAAACCTGAAAACATGGAGGGAATAGCAACTTCAAATTCATTGGTCTCTAGAATCACCAAAACTTCCCGAAACTACACCTAATCAAAGCAGGCACTGATATAATGTGGAAAGCAGTAACCCTCAAACAGGTCAAGATCGCACCTGAATTGTTTCCCATTAATTTTTTTATGAGATATATATATAGAATATTAATTCAAATCAGGGTGCATCAGCTCTGAATGTGTTGGGTTTTGGGATGATACAACTGGAGTGACTTTCGTCACTTTCCATATTCCCTGTTTTATTTAGGAAACAGATTATGAGATATAAAGGACTGGATGAGATGTACTGAATCTTATTTTTCTGGCATCGGTTCATCTTCTTGGGGAGGTTCTTCTAATCTTCGTGGTCCATATAAGAGTACATAAGCACAGGGCCAATCGCCTCCTCCAGATAACTTGAGAACATCTTCAGATGTGACTGGAGTAACATTGTCATCGTCAAATTTGATCCATTCCTCTAAAAACAAAAGGAAAATTGTAGATACAAGTAGTCACTGTCATTTAAATATGAAGGCATCACTTGTAGCATTAAATGTTATTGCCAATATGATAATTGGGATTGAAAGAATGACTCCTGTTTTCATAATGGTGCCTGGGTAAATGGGTAACTGAAATATTTCAGTTATAAATAGCTAGAACTAGTACAGTCGACTCTCGTTACTACGAGGTCCTTGGGACTTATGACATTACCTCGTATTATTCGACACCTCGTCTTAAGCGACGAGCATTTTTTGTGCACTCGCCGAAATGCACCATGGATCATTTATGTAGCTAATGCATGGGCCACATGCTCTTGTTGAAATTGCAATGAATTCAAAAAGTTATATGTTGTTCTCCATGAAATTATGATGTATAAAAAATAAAGTCACGACAGTAAAACTTGTATGGTATTTCAGAATAATAAAGAAAACAAAGTAAGATTTGAGGCTTTGCATGGTGGAGATACTAAATAATGAAAGGTTTGCGGAAACACCATGTGCGAATAATTTCTCAACTAAGAGAATGGTTCTGAAAAGAACCAGAGGTATAAACTCGACGTTCCGGTCAGTATGCTCTGACAAGAAAACAAAATAAACTGACTTTCAACCCAACAACCTGACAACGGGGCAAGCGGACCACCCGCGTACCGCACCGTATCGAATGATGCAATGTCACCTACCTCGAGCACGCACGTAAGTACATTAACATTTTTTGTTGGTGACCATTTTTTGATGTTGTGTTGGGTGGCAGAAACTGGAGCGTGTAGGATGTGAGGGTGGGCGGCACAGTTGTCTACGAAAAGCAAGACCTTGCGCCATTGACGAGTGAATTTTTTGTCCAAGCGGTGCACCCACTCGGAGAACAGATCCGACACCATCCAGGCCTTACGGTTGGCGCGATAGATGACGGGCAGGTAGGTGATGTTTTTGAAGCATCGGGGGTTCTGGAATTTGCCGATGACCAACGGCTTTAACTTTTCCGAACCGTCCATGTTGGCGCACAGCATGAGAGTGATACGGTCCTTGCTTTGCTTGCCACCGTGGCACTGCTCACCTTTAAACGCCATGGTTTTATCCGGCGTTAGACGGAAAAACAGTCCAGTCTCGTCGGCATTGAAGATGTTGCGCGGTTCAAAATCCCGCAAAAGACGGGGGAGCGTATCTCGGAGCCAGGAAGTGATGGTGCCCTGATCGACGCTGTTACTCTCGCCTCAAACTTGCTTGAATGCCAAGCAGTGACGATCCTTGAAGCGAGAGAGCCATCCAGAACTTGCTGCAAAAGTCTCGTGCCCCATCACCTTGGCAAGTTGTTCCGCTTTCCCCCGGAGAAGAGGGCCGTTTACCGGTAGATTCATGGCATGAGCCCCCCGAAACCAACGGAGAAGGGTCTCCTCCACATCTTCACAAGTAGCCGTGCGAAACCGCTTTCGGGTGGGTTGGAATTTGGACAATTCAAACTTGGCAATGATGTCAGCCTTGTTCTTGAGGATGGTGGACAATGTGCTGGAAACAATGCTGTACTGGCGCCCAACATCCGCTTCCTTCCGACCTGAATCCACGGCTCTGATAATTTCCATCTTGGTTTCGATGGAGAGTCCCTTACGGGTAATCTTAGGTGAAGCCATTGCAAATCGGTTTTCTCACCAATGAACACTGTCTCAAAGGTACAATAAACGTATGAATCGTTGAGGAAAATGTCCCCGGCCTTATATCCACTTCAGGTTGCTACTGCTTGCATCCAAGGAAAGATTTCCATTCATCACTGTCTTAAACATGTGGCACCGAAATGCCCCGTAAAGATTCTCCTTTGATGGCATAGGACAAACGTCCATTGTCGGCCTTCCTCGTTCGGGCGGCACCATAAAGAAACCCCGTGATCGCGCAGGAATCCAAACGCCTATTGTCTGCCTTGTTCGTTCGGGCGGCACGGCGTTCGAGCGGTGTTGTGTAATGCCCGTTAAAGAACCCAGTAATACTTATCGCTAAGAGAAGGGGTTTGCCCCGCTGTTTCTGGCAGTGGCTGCAATGTGCGCCGCAGCACCTTGTAAACCATTATAAGGTGCTACATAATGGGTCTCATATTTCTCATAAACTTTATTTACCTTTCTTTAATAATTGAGTAGCGCCTTGAGTACCTAATTGTTGGTAGATACGTGCGCTATATAAGACTCCGTTATTATCATTATTATTATTATCACAGTGCCAATTAAAACTGAACTTGATTGACAAGTTGTTTTCCCGAATGCACGTGGAAAGTGACAGATAACAATAGATTTGCACTCGCCAGACCGCAAAAAGTACACGTCTTAACCGTCAATTCGTATCACCCAAGCTCATATTAAGCATTTTTTGCCTCATAGTAATATGCACACTTTGGTCGGGACTGGCAAAATATGCTCGTCTAAACCGAAATCTTGTCTTAGCCGTGCTCTTATTAACGAGAGTCGACTGTACCAGGAACGGTTCTTGCATTATGAATGTTTTCATAGCTTTTGACTTATCGATACCAAGTTATCTACAAAATGCCAGGAGTCGATACTATCTACAGTCAAGGCAGCATCATGATCATTATGCAGAATCAAGCAGTGGCGTAGCACGGTCATTTTTATTGGGGGGGGGGGGGTTAAACATTTCTTGAAAAGGGCACTTGCATATTCGTGGTGAAATGTAGACACGTATTTTTCTCCGGACACTTGGCCTCCGTAAAATACAAAAACTGGGGGGCGGGGGACGCGGGCTGGTACCAGCTGTCAATAGGGGCGCTGTTCAAAACCAACGATTATGCACACTAACGGACAATATATGGTGCTGTCCAGGCCGATATATATGAGTGAAATTCTAACAAAGGCACCCTGAGTTGCCGATGGCACAAAAAAGGCACCACTTCTTTTGAAAAAGAAGTCTTGTTTAGAAAAAAAGGGTACTTCTTTACAAAAACAAAAGGGCACTCTTTACCAATTATTGGGGGGAGGGGGTTTAAGCGCTGGTGAAATAAGGGCATTTGAATGGAAAAGGGCAGTCTTTACAAAATATTGGGAGGGGGGTGGTAAATACTCCCCCTCCCCCGGCTACGCAAGGGCGGATCCAGGGGGGGGGGGGGCAAAGGGGGCCATGCCCCCCCCCCCCCCCAATGAAAAAATGAATCCATTATTTTTTTTTTGTAGTGATTTCGCAATAAAGGCATGGCAATGAGTACACCACCATCTTTTCCTCAAAAAACATTGGTTAAAGTGGTCAGAAATTGCCTCAGATCGCACCACAGAGCATCTAGAATCCAAAAAAATGTCAGGTCCCTTAAGCGGGCCCCGAACACCACGCCAAAATTTTTTGGGACACACTCTTTGGCTCCCCCCAAATTGTGTTCTGGATCCGCCCTTGTGGCTACGCCTATGTCAAGATCAATGACAAGTGTTACAACTGATAATGTAGTAACCAACTGATAATGTATCGCCAACCGATAATGTAACAAAAATTGACTGATGGTGTAGGAAATATTACTCCACTATTGGTCATTTTTTTGGTTACATTATCGGTTAGTGATACAATATCAGTTAATTTTTTATATCAGCAGCAACTTTATCAGTTCTTAAAGTTGCGTATCTTAAAGTTGCATTTAGTTATGCAATAATTACAAATGCTGAATTATTTGCAGCCCAACAGAGTTTAAGATTTATCATTGTAGACTCGTTCACATCCCTCTAGCATTGATAATATAGAGGCAAGGAACCAGACAACTCGCAAGGTGGATGTTTGTGTGAGGCAACCCAAAATAAAGGCCTTTTTTCTGAGGGTTGCAGATGCCCAATGTGGAATAAATGGCTCAACACTCAACATGCAGTCTATATGTACCTCCTTTCTTTCGGACCCATCCAACGTAATGACCAGAAGAGCTGGATCTGCCCTGATGAGTTAGCACAGCTTGCAGCTCATAGTAACCACTGTTGTTACTACCAATATCTAGCAAGTTGGTGAGAACAAAAGAGAGAAAGTATACAGTACGAGAATATACCAAGAATATCATGATGGATAATATGTCCATGAATCATAGACAAATCTAGTTAGGTCAATATTTTGTGCGGCTTCTATTGCCGCAACCATAGCTCAGCATCCTGCAGCCATTGTGTCGATAGATTTCTGAATCTCTTCAACACTTATGTCATTCCAGCACTTTTGCAGTTTGCAGTTCTTTAGACTTTCTTTGGATGTTACTTTCGATCTGTCAATTTCTCGTTCCAACAAGTCCCATATTTGTTCGATTGGGTTTAGGTCAGGACTTTGGGTTGGCCATTCCATCATGTTCCCCATACCAGCTACTTCTGTTTGGCAAAGCTTGTTCTTACGCTTCTGAGAGGCATGATTTGGGTCGTTGTCTTCTTGAAAAATGAATGCCTGCCCTACTAGCCGGTGTCCAAATGGTATTCCATGCCTAGCAAGCAGGTTATGATACACCTTTTTGTCCATTATTTCATCTTTGTTTACTCAATCACCAGTTCCTCCTGCAGAATTTGAATGCCAAGCCGTTATATTTCCCCCACCATGCTTGGCAGTAAGACAAATGCAATCATCAATGAGCTCCTCCAGTACCCTCTCCACTTCACCGCTGTTCCACAGGCTCTGTGTGTTACATTAGGTTTATGCGCATGCGCTAGTTTTATCGGGCTGCATCATTAAATGCATTATTCATGAGCTCGGCGAATTAAAAACAAAGATCGGCTTCAAAACTCTTACAAACTTTTAGGGCAAGCAGAAAAATTCTGTGCTAACCCTGTAAGCACACAATCCTTAGTTACGGGATGTATGCATGCACAGAAGCCAAAATTACTTGCTAACCCGTGAAATACGCCTACTGTAAGCACAGAATTTTCTGCTACAGTAAGCAGGGATTTTTCGCTTACGGTAAGCAGAGCCATGATATTGGGCCTTGATGTGATGATCACTCAACCATGTTAAGTGTAAATATAAAACCATAAAAAAGCAGTATACAACTATAACATGGTTTGAGGGTGGACAGTCAATATTACTATACCTCATACATATTCATGACCGAAAGCCGAATTCTCACTGGTCCATTCACCATCACGTGCCAGATGCTATTTTTGCTGTTTATCAAACATGCGCGCGAGTATTCATGCACAGGCTAAGTACGCATGCGTAGTAGACTGTCGCACGTGTTACCCGTGCGACAGTCTACTACGCATGCGCTTTACGAAGCAATCGTTGAACTGTCGCACGGGTGAAGCAGGCACGCGCGAACATCGCGCTACAGCTACACATAAAAGATGGTTGCACACGTAAATGATAATAAGCGCTTTCCCTAGCTGAATGATGCTGAATTGGAGAATATTGTGGACAATATAAACATGCATGTGCTAAAAAAAGTTTTCCACAAACAATTGTATTTACAACCTTAGTAACTGCATGTATTGCAAACGAACTGTCATTTTCGGAGTTTGAGCAATATTATTTTTCTGGTGAGCTGGACAAGTTTCTCCGAACATTTTTGTGCAGATCCATACTGCAGGAAAAATCGGCAACTGAATATGTATGAGGTATAGTAAAACAAATATAACATGGTTTATTTCGGGTGGACAGTCGATATTAGCTCCCCTCGGTATTAGAAGTTGACAAACTAGTTAGTTTGTCAACTTCCAATACCTCGGGGAGCGAATATCGACTGTCCAACCTCAAACCATGTTATATTTGTATATTAGCTCCCTGCGGTATTGGAAGTGAAGCCGAGGGAACTAGTTTGTCAACTTCCAATACCGAGGGGAGCTAATATCGACTGTCCACCCGAAATAAACCATGTTATATTTGTTTTACTATACCTCATACATATTCAGTTGCCGAATTTTGTTTTATTATTATGCACCTAAAACAAAATTCGGGGAAACTTGTACAGCTCACCAAAAAATTCAACTTCAATTACTAGTTCGGTTCGTTTGCAATATAATACAGTTACTACAGTTGTAAATACAAATGTTTGCAATGTGTACAACTTTCTTTTGTACAGGAGACATCTTTACACGGTCTATACATTTTCTCCAGTACGGCATTATTGAGCTCTGGAAATTAACATTTACGTGAACCATGCAACCATGCATCTCTCCTGGGCGATGTTCGCGCGTGCGTACTGCACCCGTGCGACAGTTCCTCGATTGCTCTGTAAAGTGCATGCGTAGTATGAATCGGGTAACCCATGCGACAGTCTACTACGCATGCGTATTTACAATGTGCGTGAATCCTCGCGCGCGCATTTGGTAAACAGCAAGAATAACATCTGGCACGTGATGGTGAATTGACCAGTGAACGTTCGGCTCTCGATCATGAATATGTATGAGGTATAGTAATCGCAAACGCTAACCCCCTACTGTACTACCCAGCTGTTGTGTCCGCGTTTTCCAAATCTTCACTGCGCGCAAGTATACCCGTGTCCTATCCAGTCTTACTAATGGAGATCAATGGGTAGAGTAATACATTTTAATAACAATTTGAATGGACATTGAGAGTCTTTCAGTCACCTTCCCTGACTATATTCCACTGTAATCTTTTGACATATTGTGCTGCCAGGTGATCTGCCTGATTATCTTTAGGACAGTGATTACACCTTGTATTAGTGACCTCCTCTGAGTGTGATTTAAAGTGCTGAGTTTTGTTTTTTGTTTGGCATTGTTTTTTGAGGTGGTTTTCTGGTGAGATTTGGTGTTGATTCTGATTGGAATCATGACTCCTGGACAGCATCAGTGTGGACTCAAAATGATTTGAGTCACCCAGGCCTACAGGATACTAAACATTCCACATTGTCAGCTTACCATCAGGGAAATCATAGGCGAGTAGTTTGACAGACTCTTCTACAGGTAGTGTTGGCTGCTTCATTCCTGCTTGCTTAGCCTGGGAATAATACAAGACAAACGAAACTATAAATCATGCAAAAAAGGCATACTCTGGTATGTTCTTTAGATATAATCTTGTTAGCATTTAGAAGTGCTTGCAAAAAAATAAAATATAGGTAAGTTGAAATGTGTTTTTCTTGACAGCTCCTATATCAATCCATTTCCAATAAAACCTTGCAACAGAACAAAATCAGACCACAAACAAAATCAGACCTAGTAAGGAAATCTCACAACTCTTTGTTTATGAACACAGGAAAAAAATACCAGCTGAAGTCCAATGAAAACATAAATGCGCCATTGTGTGGAGTGAGTAAGTGAACAAGTACATGTACAATGCACATATACATATTCATTTATACCTACCAGTACAAACCTGAATAAACCTACGTTCACACCACAATTACTAGAGTGCTAACTCTTCATTCTTGCGTGAGGAGAAGCTTTGACGCTGCTCTGGGTGCAGACATTTTGAATTTATGTGCGTGTTAGTAGAACATAATGAAATTAGATGGATTTAATTCTAAATGCAATGTGCAAGTAGAACATATGCAAACAACTGAAGCGTCTCATGAGCATCTGCAGCGAATACGCACACGCGTTACGCTGTTTGCGTAGAGCAAAATGACACGCTCATTTGCTGATCGTGTATTTCGGTTTTGGGCGTATCAGCTTCTATGACACACCGATATGGAATACAAACGCAGATATGCAAATAGACGTACAAAATACGTACACAATTTCTAGCTCTCCATAGGTTTGTGCACAAACATGGATGTCCCCATCAGGCATCACTTTGTACATGAGTTAGCGCTCTAGTAATTTAATATAGCTCTATGGTTCACATTAACATTTGGAAATTGAAGTGGGCAATTTTAAGCCTCAGCAGGGCCAGCAAGAATTGGTGGTTAAATGATTGTCTTTTTACCAGTTCTATGTTTTTAACCGATTACATGTACATTGCATGTATCGGCAAAAATGCAGTGATGGGTGTGAGGGGGTAGTATTGGGCAGTATAGGGAGTAACATGCAGGGTGGTTAGGGTTGGTACAAGGACTGATGCGTTCATATGTTCTGTTGATTCTCAACGTGTAGTAGTAATATACCTTTTGTAGAAATCAAGACAGTGTGATTGTCCAGGGTTCTCCCCAAGTACAAGGGTGCGTATCGGGCCCGATACGCTGGAATTGCGGCCCGATACGCCGACAAAAATGCCGATCACATTTTTCAGCCCCTGATACGCACAATATAATTATTATACAAGCCATTAAACTGCACAACATAATCGTTTCATACGCCATTATTTCATCTTGACACGCAAAATCTTGACAAAAATCCCGTATTTCTGATGCATGTGTGATCAAAATGCACACGATGACGGGTCTTTCGCATCGACCGCCAGCACCCAGAGCATACAGCATGGTACACTGGTTCCCTTCGCGTGCTAACAGTATCAAGCTATGATGAAGGACTGGAACCAGTGACTACTGCCTCGTGCGTGCATACATGATGATGATGTCCTCTGAAGTTGGATCGTAAAAACACCAAACAAAAATCGATGGAGAAAGAGAATTTCTGCAAATTAATTCACAGAACGTGATCTTTATTTTCTGTGTATGTATTTTCCATTAAAATGATAAGATTGCAAAGCTCGAACTTGTGGCGAAACATCGTAAGTGTGCTTCTTAGAAACAGTAGTGCAAAATTTTTGGCCACGTGGGATGGGCCGTACACAGTGCAGTAATGCACACTGATACTGCGCCATGTGCACGTCACGATGTTTGACCGGCCAGACTGAATGTTGACGGCGCCAGGGGCCGTGATGTACGTAAAGCATATAGTGGAATCAACCACCTCAAATATATTTTTAATTAGGTGAGGCAAGTTTTAATCACTTTTGATGGTTAGTCTTGATAATTTTCGTGGTGCAAAGAAAAATAATCCAGCCACAAAACTACATGATTCCTTGTTCAATATGCTCCATTCAATCATGTGTTTTTATTCCTCCATGATTCAATCAGCAGCCCAAAAAATTGGCGAAATAATTTTTCCAACCTACCGACGCTATTTTGAAAGGCATGTAATCGGACGCAAAAATGATTTTTTTTCTTCACCTTAATTTTTTAATTTGAAACTTGCTTGTAAATATAATCCATACTTTCTAGATCAGGAAGTTGTAACACAGGTTTTGAAATGTTGATTTTTTTTAAAGTTAAAAATTTGATATTTTTGTTCTTTAATTATAAAAAATATCACAAGATCTCCTCTAAATTTTAAGGAAAAATCTTCCTTAAAGACTCCCCAGATTTGCTCTAAAATGCACCAGAGAGCCTCTAAAGTTCAAAATTTTTCGGGGCCCTTAAGCGGGCCCCGAACCCCTTGCCGTGGTTTCGCAGGTTGGTGAATCACAACAAAACTTCCCCCACAGGTTTGAAAAAATCCTGGGGAGAACCCTGTTGTCTATTTAATTTTATGTAATTTGTGTGTTTTGGTTTTTTGAATACTCACAAGTGTAAATCGAGTGAGTCCTGGAGTTATTAGCTTTCTCGGTTTCATTCTTGTGATTAATCATAGACCAGGTTTAGTAAGCCATGTTTTATCATGACTCTAACTTTTAATAATAAAGGAATCAATGTATCTGTACATTTCAATTAGAAATACTAATAAATTTATCCTCTGAATAAAATCATGTATTAATTTCAGGGGCAGATCCAGGATTTATCAGGGGCAGATCTAGGCTGGTACCATATTTCAATAGGGGTCGCTGTTCAAATGAACACTACATTACAGAATGGTGTACAAATACCCCTTATCTAAGCTGCCTCTGTCCGTATTTTGAACAGGCACACATTGGGGGTGTGTGAATTGCTTTGGGGGGAATTTCTATGAAAAAACCAAATATTTTTTGACAGAGGTGGGCTTGTTTTGGACCCCCCCCCCCCAAATGAATTTTGTGTTACATAATAAATGTATTAACTGACAAAGCGACTAAGAGCAAGTATTACAAGAAAAGAAATGCTCCTTGTAACTGACCTTCTGTGCTTCTTCCAGCTTCCTGTCTTCCATCTCCTTAAACTTCAGACGAATTGGAACTAACTTTTCTTGAAGCTCTTTGGTACAAAGGTCAAATACATCTAGGACCATGGGGTATTTCACATCCTGCAACAACACACACAAATCTATTCATGAATGTCGAAATACAGTACTTGGGTGTACCATTGACAATTAATGCATGCTTACGGGCAAGTTATTACATGTACCTTTTTATGATGAATGATATCACAAAAATATACTCAAACAGCAGGGTGGTAAATTTTACACTTTGGGATGTTTAGCACCTTTGGTTCAACTCCATACATACATCAAACGTTTGTTTTGTTACACTGTGGTTATCAGTGTAAAATATAATGCAAATAATGTGAATGTCTGTGCGTGCCTAGTTTCAAATCAATCTGTATTAATTGGAAGTGCTACATGCAGAACTTCACTAAAACAATGGTCCGACATTTGGGTTTCGTTTTTTTTACTCACCCTGTACAGTTATTTATGTCAGCAGAAGCCATTTCATATTTAAATTCTTTAGTGACATTTGACCTTCCCCCCCCCCCTGATTCTGTTTGATTCAAATTGTTTGAAGTGTACATTTACTATTAAAAAAAGGAAAGTTTTTGATTTTATTTTAGTCCAATCAGAATTTCATTCTTCACAGTATTATTCATCATTCCAAAGTCTGCATCACCATCATGAGGAAAAATAAAAGTATAAAATGATGAAAAATATAACAAAGTAACGCAACATGGAGATTGCTGAAAATTTGACAGATTTAGGTTTTGGCATGGAAAAAGGAACCCTCCATAAAGTCAGCTACATGACTTGTTTCTGATTCACTTTCTTTTACTTTTACTCCGAAAGATTTTTTTAAAGCTAAGACCAAAGCATTACCTTCAAGATCTTGGCATTAATGTTCTCCTTCTCCTTATAGTAGAATCTCACCATCTGAATCGGTAGATAAGCAGGAAGACGACTGATCCGGGACTAAAGTCACAAAGAATACACAGATTATCAAACAAAATGTCTCATTCAAATACTGTTTATGTCAATTGTTGGTAGCTTGTTTACATTTCTGAAAGACATGTATGACGACAACAGTCTTTGAAATTTGTTTATCTTTTCGTACAAAAAAACATGTCAATACTGATGTCAAAGCCTATCTTCTCTACACCAAAACATCTACTAAATTGTTGGAAATATTTTAAGAATGTCAAAATACCGTGAATAAAAATGTCAAAATGAAGCCAATGAAGCTCCCTGTTGAACACAGATTTCTCCTGTGCTTTTGAAATGCACATGAGATGTTTGGTTGTTCTAGCAATCTAATAGGGACAGTCTTTGCGTTTTTCATTATTTTAGCTGTTCTGGAATTACTGGGATACATTCAAAACAACATTCCTATGAAGAGTGTAAATAATTAAGCTGATTATTACTATTCCAACAAGCACTTCTAGCAATGACGCAGGATGAATTACAGTGTGCTTTATCATGTTTGTTATAGAAATCCAATCGGAATTGACGGCTGCAGTGTTCTAGCCAGGGTGAAATTATAGTGTAGGGGTAATTTTGTTCGACGACTAATGCGAGCGCGGAGCGCAAAGCCCTTACGGCGTGGGGTCTAGATGCTTTGTGGTGCAATCTGAGGCGATTCCCTGCCACTTTCCCCTGATTTTTTTTAAGCAGAAGTGTTTAAAATAATAAGAATTTTTTTTTTATTTGTTTCAATGATACTCTTGCTCTTGTAAAGTTTCTTCTGTTTGCAAATTTTGGAACATGTTTACAATGTATAAATTGACATAATGAGCCAGCTAGTCAAGTTCTCCTCTGGAATCCTGAAGCCCCTCGACAAAAAAGGTCGTCCCAACATGACCCTGAAAACATCCATCGAGCTAGAAACTGGTCTGAGTGGTCCATCTCTTTCCAACACTATGCTCGACAAGGACAGTTGGGCCCAACTCATCAAGTCATCATTAAAATGAATGAATGAAGAAGAAGAAGATAAATTGTTCCAAGATCGATGCTTTCTGATGTTTATCCATTTTTAGTAGTTCCTCAACGTTTTATAAAAAGTTGAGATTTACTTTGTCAATATTAAGTGCGAGAACAAATCGCATGAACATTTCACATTCATGTAATTATTCATTGAATTCAAGTTTGAAGTCAGTGTAATTTAATCAATCTAAAACTAAAACAGGGAGTAATAAGGCATGCATGTACAAGGTTTTACATGGAGGAATAAGAACATCTCATTCTCATGAGACACTGACAGCCCAGTTTCAATTTCAAAAAGCCTTGAAGTGTTGCTGTAGCAGTAGTTCCGATTTTAAATTTGTAAATAAAACCATCGGCAGGAAGAGAAATTGTAAAACCATGGAGGTCTCATACAGAAAAAGTTGTCGTCGATTGCAATTTCAACATGCTACAACACAGTGTGAAGGAGAAATACCATTTTTGTTATGGTAAAAAATATAATTGTAGATAATGACAATGAGAAATAATCACCGGGAATTGCTTCCTATCCCAGCCGCGGCTTGGCCCCTGCCGGCCCAGCGTGCGGGCCAGCCCACGCCTGCTACGCCGGCAAACTACGCGACCAAATTTTCCCTCAGTATTGTTGCAATACTTGTGGATTGGTTTTGTGCTAAGAACAAACAGATCCCTTTTTACTACCAAACTGTTATTATCAGCAACGAGTAGTAGTCAAAAATCCAACTTTTCGATAGCGACATTCTTCGAAAAAAAATTCTTCATGTGCGGCCATCTTTATGGAGTGATCCATTGATATCGTAGGGGTGCTTTAACCTTTCGTTGGAGTTTTACATTTCTCGAATAAATCCTTTACGAAAAATTATGTTTTTTTTGACGTTGAAGAACTTATTTTCGAACAGCGAAATGTTTCGGACTTGATAAAAAGTGTTATTTGTAATTTTGAAACAATTGAAATGCTTGTAAATATTGACCTTAGGAAAGCACACCCGATAACGCAAAATGGTGTGGGCCACAGAGCGCTCTGTACGTGACATGTTGGTGACACGTACATCCGTACGTAGCGCTGTATCTACGCAGCACAAAACAGCACGTGCTTATTGCTTTCATAGCGAATGCGCGTACGTATTATGTTCATAGGAATGGCACAGCATCACGGTAGGGGTATCGTATGGGGTACGTTCGGTTGGATCGTTTTTTTTCGCTGTGTCATACGGCCGGTGTTCAAAGAGAATTGGAAGCAGATATTTTTTTTTCGCAACCCAAATTTTAGCGGTAGCGTAGCGGCGCGATTGAAGCATAGCGCTTATTTCCGAAAGGGTAGCAGGTGCTAGCGCTATTTGATGCCTGGCTAGAACACTGGACAGCTGTGTGATTAACATTTGGAAAGATAGCAACTTGTTATTCATGTTTTCAACCTCATTTTTCCGTGTGTGCATAGCATTTCACAATGTAACAACAACTGGGAGCGAGTGTGAACATCATTGCACGTACTACTCGTTAAGAAGTGAATGCAACAGCTAAATGATGCACACTGAAAACGTTTTCTTCACATTTGTTGTCGGTCACGTTTTCATCTCTTGTAGCGCTTTTTATTGAGATCTACAGTGTACGTATTCGAGTCTTTCAAAATGTCAAGTACCAGGTACCACTGTTTTCTTTCTACCGTAAAAGTGAACAGTTTTCAGATTATGTTTGTTTTGTGTTATTTAGGGCCTTTCTTACCTCTTTGATGTACTGTGCATTTCTTTCCAAAGATGGTGAATGTTTTTCAATATTTTCTGTTAGTCTCTGTGAAAAAACGACATATGAAAAAATCATTAATTATAATGGCACATACAAACAACCAAATATACATTTGTTCCACTGCAAACACTGGGTAAATGGGTGTGACTTTCTTTCGGTTTTGGTCTACCCCCTATAAATGTATGTCGGTTCTTACTAAACTTTAAGTATTTCTTTAAAAGATGAAATCTGTCCAAATTTTAGAAGCTGACTGCTTTCTCAACTTAACCATTAATCCATTAGTCTCTGCACCATCTCAAACCAACCTACTGATTACTCCCTATACTACTCCAAACTATCGAGCACTGTGTGATTGTATTGATTCATACATGTAAAGACATACATTTTCAATTGGACCAAATTCTGCTGGTTGTTAGTTGGACATGTTTTTCTTACTTGCATGTAATGCTGGTTTATACTTCACATCAATTTCAGCGCGAAAAGAATTCATATGGATATTTACTACAGTAGCAATGAAACTTTTTGACGTCATGAAATTCACTTCGCTTACCCTATTGCATAAAGTATCAACCCGCCTTACAACTATATACATTATGTCCCAAAAAACGTGTTCGTCTGACTATTTTTGAAATAATGACAAAGCACAAAATAAATTTAATTTTTTTTTAATTGCGCAGATACTTCTTATACTTGGCCAAACCCCCCAAGAGTTTCATTTCATTTCCATCACGCATCACTGCACAATGGTCCATTGATTGCAACATTTTTGGACAATGTGACCAAGTTCCTCGCCTTAATCAATTTCAGTGCTGTGTTATGTAAGATATGTAAAATCCTGCAAGTTGTGAAAAAAAAGGGTTGATGTGATTTGGGATAGGAATCATTTGCCCTTGAGCATTAAACTGAGGTCTTGCCATGATGACTGATAGCCAGGCAAATGATTCCAATCCCAACCGCAGCCCTTTTCACACAGCCATACGGAATACTGGTACTTCCGAGTACGAGTACGAGTACTGGTACTTCCGAGTACGAGTACTTGTATTCAGATGACAAATTTCATGATTTTCGTCAAAACGAGTTACAACTTAGACACAAAGTGCCACAAATTCTTCACAGGCCGACAATTTTTGACAAGTGAATGTGGACGGTACATACAACGTGCAATGTGTCATATTCGTGGTAACATATATGTGTACTACGCATATAGTCTGCTTCCCCGACGTGACAATCTTAGGCCTGTGGGCCTGACACCAGAACTAGACTAGGGGGCCCGGCTTCGATCCGTCTCTTTCTCCATTCATGCATATTGGCAATGGGGCTGGATCCGGATAGGGAGCCCAAAGGGCTTCAGAAAACGGCCTTGCTGCAATCACCCAAGTTAATCAAACGACCATTTGAGGAACATCTCGGCGCTTCACGTACATGATTGACCATTCGCTCTTTTCACACTCTGCCATGGGCATGCAGGGTCTCGTTCTGGCAACTTTACACAATAAAAATAGCTGGTTCAGTGATCTGAACCCCGACACGGGAATCACTGAATCGGCTATATCTATTGCGAAAAGTTGCCAGACCAAGGCTCTGCATGCCAATGGCGAAAGCGTTAAAAGAGCAAATTGTTCCTACATATGGCAAATGGGTCATTGTGCGTAATTGGCCCAGGCCTAGTCAGACCCAGTCACTGCTAGCTGTTAATAAGCCTCTGTACAAATGACGTCACACTTTGTTTACGTGTGTTTTCCTATGGTGCTCAGTGGACAGTGGGCCCCACTGGCTCCATGTAAACAAAGTGTGACGTCATTAGTACAGAGGCTTATTGTGTTTGTCCTGACGTGCACAGAAGAAAGTCAGGAAACTTCGATTTCTCGAAAAGCCAATCAACCATTTCAAACTGAAAGCATCGATACAATAAGGCCGTTGTAAATCAAGCTATACCATTTGTTTTTAGTACTCCTATTTGAGTACCAGCTAGTACCTTGATGATCGAGTACAATTTCAATGTCGAGAACGAGTACTTTGCTGCCCAAGTATGATACTATGAGTACCGTCATTTCAAGTACAAGTACTTTGACATTTGAGTACGAGTATGAGTATGAGTACAAGTACTCTAAAAAAAAAAATAACAGTGTTGCTGTTGAAACCCCTCAGCCAGAGTCAAGTTATCCAGAAACCATTAACTTTTAACTCAACATGGTGACCTTGACCTTTGACCCCAGAACCAGTCCCAACATGCCTGTACCAATGGGAAACCCCCATTGATCTCCATATACACAGACTGGATAGGACATCGCGTACGAACGTGCGTCCGCGCGCGCGTTTTTTAAAAAGGGTAAAGAACACAATTTCGCATTCGAGTTGTGTACACTTTCGAACGGAGGATTACAAAATGAAGTTGGGTTTTCTTCGGTTTCTTTGTCATTTTTGAAAGAATTAAAGAAACAGAGATCTAAATTGATCAAAATCGACGAGGAGTATAGTCAAGGTGTGCGCAGCATTAGATTGCTGGAGTCGGAAAGTAGGGAACGTTGAAGAATAGGACAACTATTCACAAGTAAGGTTTTTTTTAACGAGGCCTTTACAACATGGCATGGAGGAATATGAACATGGGAATGACAAAGCAAATTTATAATATCGTTAATGTTGACGCTCTGAGTTTGAGGGGAAGGAGGCCGGTGTGGTAGCTAGCGAGATATTCTGTTCAAATTCCATGCGATCTAGGCCTGTCATGCTGGTCGCCATCCATGTTTTTTTTAAGACATAGGCCTAAACGTGCATGACTGACCCGGCAATGGCAATGAACAAAAGTTGACATGTTTAAAATAGTTTATTCGAATAACTTTTACAACTTTTATATGCAAAATCTGATTGAATTATGTCTGCCTTGGCTTTAGCTCTACTGAGTGGAGCGCTGGAACTTCAGCACCCTCCGTACAAGCTTGTACGGAGGGTACCGAAGTTCCAGCGCAGCCTCCACTCAGTAGAGCTACCTTGGCTTAACGCCTACCGAAATGTTTCTATTATTTTTTCTTTATAAAGAGAAACCGAGGAGATGGTTTACTGCACTTAACTTACTGCACAACTGGCCGATTGACCTTCATAATCAAACAAAGAACTTCAGCAAAGCCATAGCAAAAACACTGCTGCAAGACCGAGCCGGACGAAAATGGAGAACTTCACGGAGGGATGGAATCGACTGTATCATGCACTGAATGGAACGTGCGATAGGCATTTGAGAGTTTGACTTAATCAAATCTTACGATGTGGAACTGTTAACATTGATTGATTTTGTTTTTGGAAAGAAGCTGTGGAGTTCAACGCAAGTATTTTTATGTGCTCCCAAGATGACTGTCACATTTATTGACAGTTTGCATGTGGTGAAGAAAGCAATGAGTACTTATACGGTTTAAAATTATGTTGTGTACGCCGTTATATAAGATTACTAGCTATAGCCATAACTTATATATACCATCATATTCGCTCACAAAAACGATTCCCATTACACTTTCAAGTAATTATATTTATTTTCAGAAGTATAGCTAAACATTTAATTGTAAACAAGACCGTGCGTAGCTTGAATTATTCTTTGACAAAATTAGTATGGTACTATTTTGGTTTGTAGTTCATCTCCTTTCACACAATATCACAAGAGGTGAACGATGTCATTCCCTGATCAATCTAGGGACGGGAAGAAGTTTTTACTGATTACTTTGTAAAATTAAGTTTTTTTACCTTTTAGATTGTAATTGGTTTATGTTCAGGTTTTTTAATAAATATATCAATCATTTGAATGAATCTCCATACAATTTCTCGTGTGAGTGTTCAGTTAAAAAAATATGATGTCATTTCAGCATATTATTAATACAATTATTCAGTTTATTGACGGAGTAATTCAGTGGGCTCTAATGACCAATCTGCCAAAAGTGAAATGGCAATTTATTTACAATCATTTTTGGGAGGAGGAGGGATTTTTAAAAAAATAAGGGAAAAGGAAAGGGGGGTTCTTGAATTTCGAAAATGCATAATAAGAAAGTGTATATCAAGAAAGTGTGGAAAAGCTGTTTGGAGGGATTGAGGGTAACTCTTCATCGTTCAGTTATTATTTTTTTTAAAGATTGTTTTGGAGGAGCGCTTGAACTCCCTCCTGTAAGAAAAGTTTCACTCAATAATCCATTTTCCAAAGTAAACAAAGTGAAAACACAATGCGCGTTTACCCGTCTGACAGTAAACGCGCCGCCATTGTTCGGCCGCGCATTCGTGCACAAACACGGCGCGATGTCCTATCCAGTCTGTGTATATGGAGATCAATGGAAACCCCCTACCGAAGTTAGACACCAAAATTTTATTTCTAACTCTAGTTATCATCCGGAAACCATTTACCTTTAACGCACCACGGTGACCTTGACCTTTGACCTTTTGACCCCAAAACCAATCCCAACTTGCCTACTCTCAAGGGCAACCCCGTACCAAAGTAAGACACCAAAATTTCATTTCTAACTCAAGTTACCATCTGGAAACCATGTACCTTTAACTCACCACTTTGACCTTGACCTTGACCCTTTGACCCCAAAACTAATCCCAACTTGCCTGTACCCAAGGGCAACCCCCTACCGAAGTTAGACAGCAAAATGTGATTTCTAACTCAAGTTATCATTCGGAAACCATTGATCTTTAACTCACCACAGTGACCTTGACCTTTGACCTTTTGACCCCAAAACCAATTCCAACTTGCCTACTCCTAAGGGCAACCCCCTACTGAAGTTACAACCCCCAAACAACATTTCTAACTCAAGTTATCATCCGGAAACTAAGCTGCCCGGACAGACGGACGGCCCGACATACGGCCCGCCTGACGGACGGTCGCTCTAGGTGATGACAATATCCCTCGAGCCTCTCGGCTGAGGTGTAAAAAGTACTCGAGTAATACCCGAGTAGGAGTACTGAGTACGAGTACTACAACACTGCCTTTTATTTGATTGAGGTGCAAGTGAGATGGAATACAGTCAAATGTATTTTTTTTTTCTAAAACCTGTTTAGGGGGTTAAAATTATGGATTTTAAGGAGTAAAATTTGCATCTTGTTTTCAAATGCAAAATGCAAATGTCATTGTGAGTTTTTGTTATGAAGGCAGAGCGAGAGGTTCATTTTCTATGCCAAGAGAGTTTTTGGGTTTGAAATTTAGTTTCTTACTTGTTTTAACTTGTACCAAAGATGGGCGGACAAACTGTAACATGAGTTACCTCAACGCAGTTACAGTAATGCGAGTTACCAAAATATGTCCTCCGAAATCTCATGATTGAATACATTGAAATAATTAGTATGGTGACATATGACTTACATCTTAATGATGTAAGGACAATGAACAAAATTCCAACAGTGCACAGAACATTAATGGGGAAATTCTTAAACGCCAGGTATTTAAACTTTTGCCTTGTCTTTTTTGTAACACGAGTTGCCCATAAAAACCTTATTGCCAAACCAAAAGAAACTTATTTTGTTGGCCTCTTTGTGTAGTTCAGTCACTCAAGTTCAAGGGATCTTCTGTGGAGAATCCACCCTGCAAAAAGTGCAATGCTTTGATTTAATAGCATAACAGTACAGAGTTGACGGAGCACCCTTGTTAAATGTAACGCAAGTCACCATGGAATTGTCCCTCTCTCCAAAATGCCCCCCCCCTCAAAGAAAGGCCAGTAAAAGCATTATTATTCAATTTATTCTATAATCGAACATGCAAAGTACATGTCAGGGATGTCACAAGAATGTGTTGAATTTAACATTGTTAATTTCAAAATAGACTTTCTGGAAATATCAGTTTCCCTTTTTCCAGTTGGCCCTAACAGCTGTTTTCTCACAGATGGCTGCTGAAGCGGCTTTTTACCAATTTATTTCTATTTAACCAAATGAAGTGTTTGTCATGGATGCCACAGGAACCGATCAAAAAAAATGCAAGAACTTTTGATAAATAGTTTTGGACATACATACATCTTTGGCAAAATCTCCATTGTCATACTTTTCGGCCAAAAATGGCATCTAACATGAATTTGTTTTCCAAAAAGTAATTTTGGAAACATAGTAATTGCGAAAGTTCCCCCTATCAGCATTCCAAAACTGTTTTCAGATGCTTCCAGGCAGGGCCTGATTAAGTGTTCTGTAGGCCCTAGGCACCAGTGTTTCGTAGGCCGTAGTGCACCGATTTCATGTTGATGTACTAAGCAAGACAGGCCAAATTGAGCTCTAAAAGCCTGTTTGTACACTGTGGTATTTTTGTAGGCCCTCAAATTTTTCATAGGCCCCAATTTTTTCGTAGGCCTTAGGCACAGTGCCTACTGTGCCTATTGGCACGATTGGATAAACTGGGCCTGCTTCCAGGTCTTACAATACGCCCGAACCTATTTTTGTAGGAATCCCACAACAAATTCACCTCATGTACACATACACATATTCTTTTGAGTAAATCTGAACCTTGACTTCGTGATTAGAAATCAGTAAATGACCTCTTTTTCTTACATTTTTGAGTCCTGTGTGAAGGTACTTGACATCCTGAGAGATGAAACAGCTCAACTGCAGAAACTGCTCTGTTGACTTGCTTGCCTCTTCCTCTGGAGCTTCTACACATTTAAGACTGAAAGGAAGTATAACAAAACATTAAAACATTCTGCGTGTCCAGGTTTAGGTGCATTTGCCTCACAGGGTTGGGCTCATAACAGATGAAAATAGGGTTGTGCACACATCCTAACCATACACTCTTGTTTAACTATACTCTCGAGGACAATGCCTTGTGTTTCCCTTTGTCCCTGTAATATAACACTCTCCCATAGACTAAGCACACAAACTTACTACAGAGGACCGTTTCCAACAAAAGACCCAACTCCCCAGGACTGAAAGGATCTGTTGTTCTCCCTTTGTGTGTCGGTCCTCGGGGTTTATGTAGAACACGTGCATAAATCTGAGCACACCAGAACACAAATGCAATCTTGTCCTTTGTGAGCACTCAGTATTATAAACATATAAGTACATGCATACAATATGAGTATTGCCATTAATTCATGTAACTCACTAATTATTGTTTGAAAGAATCACAGACATGAAGCAGGATCTACAAAGTACAATTCTCAGAGCCTGGAATAATTTGTGTTGTTCATTTGGATTTTTAAAAAGGGTAATATTTCTCTGTGGCTTTCATACTAAAAGTAAAGCACAATCTCAAACCTCTGCACAAATATATCAACCCTGAATTGAAGGTGAGCATGTTACAATGTGGTTTTACATTTAACAATTGATAACTGGTGTGATGTGGAATATGGCGTTTGGAACACCCGGGGGGGTGCATAGCACCTGAGGCGAGGCAAAGCCGAGGGTGTTAAAACAACATATCTCACATCACAGCAGTCAACAATTGTTTTGTTGTATCATGCCAACAAGTAGAAAATGATCATAAAGGCTTGTAACTTACTGTGCAAGTAAAATATTGAATCTCTGCAATGTAACCATTTGATTAATGTGAGCTTTCCTGCCAGACATGAGATTGAGGGATTGCAGAACTTTCTGCGGGGCAAGACGCGTGCGTGTGCAATGCAGAAGTAATTATGTAACGCAGTGTGTATGAGGTAACACCTTGGCATTCACGTACATGATTGGCAATTGTACACACATATGGCAAATAGGTCATTGTACGTAAATTGGCCCAGGCCCAGTCAGACCCATATACAGACCCACTCACGGCTACCGGTAGCTGTTAATTGTGTTTGTCCGGACGTGTGCAGAGGAAAGTCACGAAACTTCGACTTCTACACAAGCCAATTAACCATTTCAAACTGAAAGTATCGATAAAATAAGGCAGTGGTAAGTCAACCTATACCATTTTTCTTAGTACTGCTATTTGAGTATGAGTACAATTTCGACATGTCGAGTAGGAGTACTTTGCTGCCTGACTACAAGTACCGCCATTTCGAGTACGAGTACTCTGACATTCGAGTACGACTACTCTAAAAAAAAGTACTTGAGTAGTACTCGAGTACGAGTACCGAGTATGAGTACTACAACACTGCTGATGACGTTACAAAATGCTCTTTCCTCTGGACAAGTGTTAAGCTTTACTTGTGTTGATGCATACATACTTATGACCATGAACCAAGGCATGCCAGGCACACAAAGTTATTTCAACACACAGTAATGAATCCTGCATTCCAAGCACTACTGGGCTGCAAGGTGTGTGTAGATCATGATTATTTGAAGGTTTTTCTTTTAGAAGACACCAACCAGACAATCCTTCACACTGATATAGCCTACAAATATTCCTCAAGAACAAATACATTGTCAAAGGACATGTATGTATAGTGTAAAAACACCTAACAAGAAAGTTACAAGTTAAATTTGACTTCTACCTGCTGTCAAACTTTCCGCCAAAGTACTGGTCAATAAAGCCTTTTTTGGATGCTGAGGCACCGTCTGTTGGTTGGTTTTCTCCGTTTGTATTCACAGTCAACTGTTGTTGTAACAAGCGTACCAACTGAACCCAGCATTCATTTGCATCCTAGGAGATATAAACAACAGCAATGATTATTCATATCTTGGCCTGACATTATGATCACAAAGGAGGTGACTGCTAACTACAGACACACTAATGTATGACAAGGCTTATTTGTGACGGGAAAGTGTGGTTGCTGCTGGGTGCTACTTTCATGTTGTTTTCCACTGCACTCAAGAGAAAGGACTGCTTCTTTTAAAACACTGCCAACACACAGTTCCATTGAAAAAATTGTTAAACACTTTTCCAGTGTCACATGAAATTTGGACTCCTAAAAATCCAATGCCTCTTACCGTTTTATTGGTTCAACGTTCACAATCCTCACGTAGGCATGCGCAATACTACCAGTGAGTCAGTATTTTATAGTCCTAAATTCATAACGCAATGTCCCAGGTGAATCCGTGCGACATCGCGCAGTACGCGCGACTTGCGCGCCAATCTCCTTATAAGGTAAAGAGTTGTTAGAGGGACATTCCATATTAGAGTCAGAGGGGTGTTTTATAAAACATGCAGTAAAATTGTTGATCAAAATGGTTGGCAACGTCTAGTTTTTGACTTGTTTTGGTTTTTGGACCGAAAAGATTTGTTTTTTTGACCCAAAAAGGTATTTATGAATGGGAATAAATATGTGCTTGGTCGGTATTAAACACTCTGTTTAAGACCGGTTGGACTCTGGATGTTGATAATCACCCATCCAGACTCCCACCGGTCTTAAACAGAGTGTTATAATACCTCCCGAACACACACAATTATTCCCTTATTAAAAAGAACATAATTTAATATAATGACTTCATAATATTCTTTTAACTTAACAGTTTTAAAGTTTCACTTTTTCAACTTGCCGATTTGAAAAGTATGTTAAGTCAGGTTGACATGAAAATGTGCCCACATAAAGAACATCGGGTAAGACAAGGCCCAACAATCATAATGTTGTCACTATGTAACTACAAATCACCACTTCATGTTATAAGCTTTGAAATAAATATCTACAGAACCCGAAATCCAATGGCACATGCATAACAAGCCAGAGTCTGATACATACTACGATGTGACGTTTACAACTTTAAACTAAAAAAATAAATAAAAAAATACGTTTACAAATTTTCCAAAACGTTTAAACGAAACCCAAATTATGAAAAAGGGACCTACGTTTATGCAATCTGCCTTTGACTTGTACATGAACATTTTTTTTCACAAACAACTAACGTACATGTAAGCACCACACTACTTGATTACATTCAAGGTAGTTGAGTTTATACGGTTTCAATAACTGCCCGCTATAGACCATTATCATGTTGCAGCCATTTGATTTTTTTCCCATTCAAATCAATGTAACCAAGCGAGGCTTGAAGGACCAATAGTCTGGTTCCTTTTTGCACAAAAACATTATCATTCAGTACTGTTATTGGATACAGGGAACATGACTGAAATGGTGGCAACATGATAAAGGTCTATTAGGTCACTCATGTATAATTTAAACAGTTACTGTGTTTTGACTTTTTCAATGCCCCAGTGTTGCCCCTAAAATACTGTAGTTTCAAACAATCTGATTGTGTCTTGATTTTTTCCATAAAAGAAAACGCAGATGAAGTTTAATTTTTATGTATCCACCATTTTTTTTTTTATAGAAACTACTATGCCAAAGTCTTTGAAAAAACCCATGTAAAATAAATTTGTCCTAGTACTGAAAAAAAAAAACTTCCAGTGAGTGATTGGCAGCCCCATTGTCCACATTGATAAAACTTTATCTCCTGATCATGACAAAGTGTTTCTTTCAGTTCAGCTTTGAGTCTTTGAGATTTATGGAATGTTCTTTGCTTGTGTACAGCGATTAGAAGCTTGTTATGTGAAAGGACAGCCCATTCCGAATTATCTATTTTGTAGATAAGGTTGGTGAGGCTGATTGTCAGTGGCTCACTTACATGTACATGTGTGTATGTTAAGGAGAATACACGAGAACGTGTGGATTCGTAATTTGTAAATTAAGAATCCACACTTGCGAGTGTATTCTCTGACTTAAACGCGTCAAAAGAAGTATTGTCATTAACAGTCCAGTGAGTGGAGATGAAAAGACTTGCATATCTCGTGTCGAGTCGTGGCCATTTGGGTAATTTACAAGGGAGTTTTTCGAGGCTCTTATACGTAATCGAGCATTGTGGCATGTTCAGCATACATCGCCACATCCGTACAACCAAGTCATTTTGTGTGTAGGCTCCTTCCGTCAACATGGATAGTTCATACGACGGCTAAACATTTAAAAGTTTAAACAGGGAGGGGACTATTGAACAATATGAATCTTAGAAAATGACACATGCAATGAGTCAACCTGTATTGCATGGATTGTAGAGTCAGGCCCAGATGCGCATGTGTGGTAAAATCAATACGGCTGCTCGAAACCACGACCTCCTACTTTCTAGTGCAGCTTGGTGGTCGAGTGGTAAGACATCTGCACTAGAAAGCAGGAGGTCGTGGGTTCAGTCCCACCCGAGTGATTTTTTTCCAACTTCCACTCGGGAAGTAACACACTGAGTATACAGTGTTTATACCTCGGTGAAGGGCAAAACCTAATTTGATATGTATGATTATGAAACCTCTTTTGTTTCTAAGAAATAAGTGACTTGTAGACGCATGGTTTTGGGTCATGATGGAGGTGGCGTTATAAGCAATGTACTCTGAAACATCAAGAGCCTACCTGGTTTAGATTTGAACACAACAACCTCGTTTACCACAGCAGACAACTAAAATAGTTGGCCTGAGCCATAGCTTTTGACCCAATTTACCTGCTGTTGCAAGACACCATGCTCAGTCTTCTCTGCAAACTGTGGGAAGGCCAGGTGAAGTAGCTGTAACAGGAATATTGGTTGGATTCCATCAGTAGCCTTTTCCATAGCACTGAATAGCTCCCTCATGGCTGCTGTGATGGACTCAGCTGGCTGCACACTCACCATAGATGGATTGATATGCCCATCAAACCTATGGCAGTAATACAAGAAAACAGGTGAACCACAAGTCTGAGCAAATATACAGTACAATCAACACATAGTGCTGTGGTCTCGTGGTTAAGGGCATTGGATTCGTGGTCTGCGGGTAAAGCTGCAGGTTGTGGGTTCGAGTCCAGCCTGGGGTCATGGTGCTTGTACCCTTGGGCAAGGCACTTTGTCACTCATTGCTTCTCTCCACCCAGGAATAAATGGGTACCTGTGAGGGCAGAGATGGTTATTGCAATTGAATTAGCTTCCTTGTGCCTAATAGGCTGCATCGAGCTGTATACTCCTCAGGGAGCTGAGATGGTTTGGAATGTTTCATGGGCCCAATGAGCAGGGGTAATAATGATGTAGCACCTTGAGTACCAGTCCTGGTGGATACGTGCACTTTATAAATACCCACTATTATTATTATTATATAAAATATATGAAATTATTACAATATGCTTTAATTAAAACGGGAAATTATTTAAGTCTAATGATACAAAATGTAGAATTTAAAGGGAGTATACAACATTTGCAAACATCAAAATACAAAACTGAAATACCTTGCTGGACTGCTAGTGAATGACAGTCAAAGGCATTCTGTGAAATCGTGGCACGTGGTGTGCTGATATTTTCAAGAAAAGTGGTATTTTTGTATCACTTTGGAAAAAAAAATGGCTTTTTTTTCAAATTCTGCCCCAATTTACCATATTTAGTGAGTCCGCATTTTGTTTACAATCGATTACACACCAATTAACGGGTACAAGCCAGCTGGACTGGTTCCCTGACCTTCCAATTCTCCGACGTCTATCAATTGCTACGTTTCATCTAAAGTGGGGTCGGGAAACCAGACTCCAGAAACATGATTGTTTTTCTTGGTTTTTCCAGGATCTACGAACACAAAACTCCAAACAAGTCAGTGTAACAATATGTGCTCTAAAATACTAACCCCCAAATCCATCCATTTCTGAAAATTACAGCAAAAGCAAATGTTGTACATTCCCTTTAAGTCGTGCACACCACTAAATGCACGTTAGTCATACATATTTTTTTTCTAAGGAAAATTCAAATATTATTGACAGATCTTAAACGTCAGGATATATGCAAAGAGCATAGGCCTAATATCCAACTGTTTGCTTGGCATGAACTTATAATGTCTTATCTCTCCATGTTTAAAATGAAAGGAAATCACTGCTGTACTGTCAAGAGCAAAGGGTGTGTATGCTGTATGTATGAGTTTGTTTCTGCATTCATTAGGGGACGTTGAACAATAGAGGACAATAGGGTCCCCAATTCCCAAAGGTCCCTAATTTGGCAATCGTGTACAAAACATATGGGAGTCTTCCTAAAAAGTTAAAGTACGAACAAAAGAGGGACAGACGGGTCCCCGATTGCAGGCAAATACACACTTGTGTGTGTTGGCGGGCAGTTACCGTGTTATGGAGAAGTTTGTTATTGTTAGGCAAATTAGGACTGAGTTATGGGAACTTTCTGCTGTCCACACAGCGTCTTTGGTCTCCATAGTATCATGGGACAACTCGTGTGTAGTCCCCACAACTACGGAACAAGAGTGGGTGTACATATGTGTACAGGATTCCTTATGGGGTAGAAAGCACAATAGAACAACAGGCCCCATAGGAAATCTTCAGAAATCAATCTATCCCATAAGGGAAATGCTGTGGAGTTTGAGATTTCAACAGGAACAAAGAAAAACAAAAGAAGGGAAACAAAGGTCTTCTCCATAAATATGTGTGTGTAAGGCTGTGTGATCTGTTACACGGTACCCTGTGGAGACATGGGTATAATAGGGAACAACACATCTTGTCAACAATACGTCTCCACAGAGCAATTTCTATAGGTGATACGTCTCCACAAGTTTATCACGAAATAGATATATGGATTTTACTCAAAAACTAGGAATTTCCAAGGTGTGTTGATCCGTCGAAAATTGAAGTATTTTATGTAAGGGATATTACACACATGTAAGTCTGAATTTCAGCCCTGGAAATTAATAGGGGCCTACTGGTTAAAATAGGAGCATTTTGAAACTACACTTTCAAAGTTGATCATTCACAAGTTGATCACTCGTGAAGCGGGTATCACCCGTGATGTGGGGGACAGGCGGCAAAGCTGTCTCCCCCTGTGTAGCAGGGCAAGATGAAGCCTTCTTTAAGATTTTAAACATGACTAGAGCAGGCTAGTCGAAACGTTGAGACCAAACTTATGTCACTCAGCCTCAGTGAAGGTAATTGTGAGAAGTCCCACCACTTCCAATGTACTTAGCAAAAGTAGATAATAAGCAGGACAAGTTCCTTTTTTTTGAACTAGTAGGACAGTTCTTATTGGAACTTAATCTACTGAGCGAAAGTAGACACAACCACATGATGTTACCGCAAACTGAAGTTATATAGCCTTGTTGGCTGTTTCGGCAACTGGCCGAAACAGCCTTTGTTTTCATTAAGATTTTTTTTTTTTAACTTCATTTTTTTTTTCATTTTCAGTCATTTTTGCCCATAGCATTTGAAAACGTTTTTTTGTCCCCGGCACTTTAGGCACTAAAATCAATCCAATTGCCTTTTTACTTGGCACACACTTAGACTAGCACCTGCTGCTATGTGCTGAACATTGACGTCATCATGACGTCATCACGAGCCACGTGATGTCACATTATATGCGATTTTTCTGTTGTGACCATTTTCTAGCAAAATTCAGCTAGATCTGACAGATTGGGTTATATCTCCAGAACTACAGGTCCGATTAGATTGAAAGTTGGTATGTACCTAGACCGGGATGTCTTATAGATGAAAATTCACTTGACGTCATGATGTCATCCCGTGACATATGACGTCATATAAAATAAACATATTTTGAAGGCCTATATCTCCTAAACTACAGGTCCGATGGGGTTGAAAAGTGGTATGTACCCAGACCAGGATGTGTTATAGATGAAAATTAAAATGACGTAATGATGACGTCATCACACGACATATTTTATAGGCCCGTATTACAAGAACTACAGGTCCGATTGGGTTCAAAGTCACTTTGGCCACTAAAATCAATCTGATCGCCTTTATACTCGGCATACACTTGGACCAGCATCTGAAGTTGTGTGCCAAACATTGACGTCACCAGGGTTGTCACCAGGCCAAATTTAGTGCCGGGTAATATTTTGGCGAAGCGTAGCGAGAGGAGCTCTTGCGGGTCACGGCCAGGGGTCAAAGGGCAACGCCCTGGCGGGGTTGAGGGGGCTCCTCCCCCCCCCCCCCCCCAACCCCCAAAGCTCCAGGATTTTGCGGTCTTTTTGGGGGGGGGGGGGAATCAAGTTTTTGAAGCATGATGTTATAAAGTGTAATTTGTGTTTGTAAAATGTTGAATTATCATTAAATAAAGATGAACACAGAATGAAACAACATTTGTCTCATTATTCCTCCATGCTCATACAATCTGTTCATTATTGTAAATCAGTATTTAGATTAATGAACAGAATTAAGAAAAAATCAAAAGATGGTTTTGTAAGCACATTTGTGTACCCTTACAGAGATGAAACTGGCATATGGCGAAAAAAATCAGAAAATAGGCCGAACAAAATACGTGTCCGAAATCTGGGCCGCGCTGCAGTAAACACACATGTACATGCATGTACAATACACTACATGCCCAATTTCCGAACACAAACTCCTGCTTTATTTTGATTCAAACAAAATTTTACCATGAAAAAAAAATGGTCAGAGTTTTCATTGCATAAAACGCCTGAATTACGGTTAGAGTAATGGAGTCATCAATAAAGAAGTTCACTTCTTACTTGAGAAAGCCGAGGGAAAAGTCCGAAAGACAAGGGCACATTCAACCACACAACTGCACTCACTCCACTTGCATTCATACGTGGGGAAAAATCAGGAAAATATCGTCTTTCTCTTCCAACAAATGCCAGTGAAATGTTTCGCTAATGCCCTCTTCGCTATCCTGGAGATAATCATCACGATTTTTAAAGCATTGCATTTTGTACAACTAAATTTGAAACCTCCGAAAATCGCACAACATAATGAGTTTATCTACTGGATCGTTCACAAGGCTACCCGTTCCCGACCGGCCATGCTAGCGGACGGTACAGTGCGGTACGTACACTGTGTACCATTGCATATTCGCACGCACGTACGTGCGACACTGTGATTTTTCCATGTCACCTCAGTGTCAATGTTTTAACTTTTGTCCAGCCGGAGAAGGCTCCGATCAGTGTTATGCCCTGTGTTTCTACCGTTGAAGCACTCCAATAACGACTGGTGAAAGAGACTAAAACTAAGTTCGCGATGATTTTAACTAATGGGGTCTGTCATAATGCCGCCGTCGTTCATCAAGGCCCGGCTTGGTGCGTAATGGACCGATCCAGTAAGCACCGCCCCATGGTATTCTGACCAATCACAGCCGTGATTTATGACCGACATGCGTGCACAAAAGTCCGACATGCGTGCACGCGCGTATGATGCGCGCGGCAGGAAAATGCAGTGTGGCATTGGAGAGGAGCACGTGTTAATTTGCCCACGTGCGCAGTGGGAGGGGCTTACTGGATCGGTCCATTGTAAGCTCACTTCGGTGTTTTTGCGGTTTAAAACAAGGAATTAAACACAGAAAATATCATATGATTGCTAAAGATATGGACATACATCAGATTTTTTTAGATGTTTCAGAAATTCTACCAACTCAGGGACTGAAATATGTGCCGGGCGGTCAGGCTCAAAATTACTCCGAGTGCCAGGCGGAGATTTGGAGAGCTAGGCGGCCCCGCCCGCCGCCGCCTGGCGTGGCTACAACCCTGGACGTCACCATGGCAGGTTCGATTGGGTTGAAAGTTGGTATGTACCTAAACCGGGAAGTGCTATAGATGAAAATCCAAGTGACGTCACGATGACGTCATCACGTGACATGTGACGTCACATTCAAAGTACATATTTTGAAGGCCTATATCTCCAGAACTAAAGGTCTGATTGGGTTGAAAGTTGGTATATATGTATATGTGTTATAGATGAAAAATGAAGTGACGCCATGATGACGTCATCATGGGTCACGTGACGTCACGTTAAAGATTACTAGATTTAATCTTTGAAAATCAATACAAAATCAACCGTGAGAGACCTGAACATGACTTTTGCGGGAATTAATAGAATAATCCAGGGTCTTCGTTTTTGATTCTATGTACAAAATCATGTGACCTTTCCTTCCGGTTGAAACCGGAAGTGCCTTGTAATTTAAAATTGGTGAAATGTGTGAGCTTGCTTTCAACGATGTATGCTCTGGCTAAGTTGTTATTTCCAAATAAATATAGTTATAGATCAAAATTGATGTGAGGTCATCATGACGTCATCACGTAGGGCCAATGATTTTCTGTTTTAGAAAAGTGCAAATTCCTTTTTTAAAAATCCTGAATTCCGTTTCAGGCTGAAAAATTCCGTTTCACATTTATTCAATACATAAAAAGGCATTTAAACATATACCATGTACACAGTAAATAATTCCAAGACGATAATGAAATAGTCGTTTGGTTGGAGCGCGGGAAAACTGCCCCAAAAAGATTTCTATTTTATCAACGGCCAATGTACAGACATAGTATTTAACTTCACCACAGTTAAGTCGTATACTGCACTGCCACTGCCACACACGCAAGAAACATGCAATAGCCGTACAGGCCAATCCAATGACGTCACACACATCAGCTGGCCGAAGCGAAATTCATGTCCGCCATTTTGTTTTCGGGCTAACGTTAGTGACAAAATAGGATAGTTTACACATGGAGGAATAAGAACACACGGTAGATTTTGGACCTAAGCACAACATGCATTTCAATAGAGCCAAAGTTAGATGTTATACGAATGGTTGATTGATTGAACAGAGAAAAATAAACCTGCCGATGGAGCAAAAGAGACCCGCGAGAGCATGCCGTGAGTGTGATGATTTTCACCGTTGCCCTGACCGACAGGTGCGGCATGCGTCGGGACTGTCACTCCCATGACTACGCGTACTACGGTAATGATCTCGTAACATTTATTGCTCTGATCTTGAACGTTTTTGTCCCCCAAAATCGTGATATAAACACTGCTCATTTGTTGTATGGCTCATCTGTTCTATCAATCATCAATAATTCGTTTTGTACTCAATAAATTTAACGAAATTATGTTTTTTTATCAATAAAATTGCAGAAATTATTTTCTTCAGATTCAATTCCGTTTTCCGTTTCGAGGAGCAGATTCCGCGAATTCCGTCCGTTTTCCGTGATCGCGGAAAATCATTGGCCCTAATCACGTGAAATGTGACATCATAATTCAAAGCCCTATCAGAATGAAATCACATATTATATGACGCCATTTATTATAAACAGAACTACACATCCTTCCTGGATGGAACTAGTTGAAACTTTACATGTCACGTCACGAAAAGTTACCGAAACAGCTGTGTGTTTTTCCACAAACATAACTCTAGTTTAATATATTGATTATTATCAATGTTTCATGTAGGTGTCAATTTATTGACACCTACATGGCCCATTATGCACAGCAGATGCATGACAAGTCTTGCAGTGAATAACCATTCTGAATCAATTGACTAGAATTGTGTACACTCTGGGAACAGCTTTAATATAGACTTGCCTAGTATTTCAATCATTCCCTTTACCCTTGAGGGACAGATTTCTGTGGGGAAGAGAACTGAAGTGGATAAGATCTTGAAGACTGAATTCAAAATAATTTGTGTGTTACCTTTTCAATGAGTCTCTAAGCTCTGGAATGCTGTGTAGACACTGCACTGTGGAGTTCAAGTAGCATGTGTTACCAAGGTTCGCCAGGCCAGCTGACAGCTCAAACTATGGATATCAACAGACAAGCAACTTCAAACATGTTGTTCACAAACATTACTACATTGTATCAACAATTGTAGACAGAGTTGAGACTCTCAAGATAACTTTAACGAGAGGACCACAGAATAGTTCTGGAAAATATGGAATATTTTGAAAGCACATCTAGAAGTTTTTGAGCTAATAATAGAACATTTTTCGATGTTAGATCTCTGGGTTAAAAAAAAAAAAAAACAACAGCGTTGCTGTTGAAACCCCTCAGCCGAAGTTTGTCGAAGAGGGCAAACTGACATTCCAAACTCAAATATCATGTCTAACTGAAATTATCATGCAGAAACCATTAACTCACCACAGTGACCTTGACCTTTGACCCCAAAACCAATGCCATAGCTGCCAACATTTCAAAATCCCAATTAGTAATCAACCCGCGCGGTCATTTTCAACTTCTCGTTTTAACAAAAGCTTTACCAACATTGAGTACAGGTACATGGTTTACATGTACACATACATGTGCATACCCTTCTTGTTGTGAATAATAATGTACTGTAGGCCAAAAGATAATTTAAAAAAAAAAAAAAAAAAAATTAAAAAAAAAAAAAAATTAAATTAATTTTATTTTAATGTCTGTATTTGTTTGTTGAAGTCAAATAAATAATAACATCAATAACATGTGCGCATATTTTTTTGGAGATGCATGCTATCGATGTTGAGTTTCGAGTTCGTATCATGTTTTTACACACAATGATCTATGGCCACCGTTTGCAATAGAAATATCCCGCCAACATACCTTGCAAACGCATGCTGATTTATCTTTTCTGTCTGTTGTGACAAACTCAAACTCTTTTACCAATTATTCCAACCATACTTTTATTAAATTCCATGATTAAAATCTCGAACTGATGGGTCTCATTCTGGCAATAAGCGACTAAATGTGCTCAAGATCGTCACTGAAAAGTACTCACATACAGTACACACAATCACACATCCACGAGATGCACACAAATGACACACCATTGAAAAATATTTTTAGTCTGGTCCTCAAGTACTCCACTGCGCACACTGTATTGATGTCTATCAGGTACTTGACTGCATTCTTATTAGACTGGTCACCAGTCCATCCATTATCGCGACATTTCGCCAGAAGTTTTCGGTCAAAAAACGATACTTTACATTTTTTTTTTCGTTAGGTAGAAAATGAGAAATTCGTAATGTTTTAGTGACAAATCGTATTTTCGTAATTTAAAAAACAATTCGTAATAATTACGAAAAAATCGTACTAGTTGGCAGCTATGCAATCCCAACCTGCCTGTACCCAAGGGCAACCCCCTACCTAAGTTAGACACCAAAATCTCATTTCCAACTCAAGTTATCATCCAGAAACCACTTACCTTTAACTCACCACGGTGACCTTGACCTTTAACCTTTCGACACCAAAACCAATCCCAACTTGCCTACTCCAAAGGGTAACCCCCTACCAAAGTAAGACACCAAAATCTCATTTCTAACTCAAGTTATCATCCGGAAACCATTTACAAATAACTCACCACAGTGACCTTGACCTTTGACCTTTTGACCCTAAAACCAATCCCAACTTGCCTACTCCCAAGGGCAACCCCCTACCAAAGTTAGACACAAAAATCTCATTTCTAACTCAAGTTATCATCCAGAAACCATTTACCTTTAACTCACCACGGTGACCTTGACCTTTGACCTTTTGACCTCAAAACCAGTCCCAACTTGCCTACTCCCAAGGGCAACCCCCTACCGAAGTTACAATCCCAAACAACATTTCTAAATCAAGTTATCATCCGGAAACTAAGCTGCCCGGACGGATGGATGGCCCGACGGAACGACAGACAGACAGACAGACATCCCAGCCAGATGGACTTCTGGGGTACCTCCATTGTTGTCCCATTGTCCCTATTTCTAAAGATTTCGGTGCGGGGAACCCTTTTTTCTAAAGATTTTATTTGTGGGGTACCTCGACCAAAGGACTGGTGCCCCACAAGTGGTCCCTGGTAAGCACGTCCGGACGGACGCTGTAGGCGATGACAATAGCACTCCACACTAATGTTAAAAATATAAGCAAGAACCCGGATCTCAGACAAGCATGCTGTACGGACTTTTCATGTGAAGATCACTTGCACCCTTGCAACACCGTTTCTATGCGAATGTATGCGGCTAGATGTGCAAGCACGTGCGTGCGTGCGTGCGTGAGTGTTCGAAAGTTTGTCTAACATCCAGGGTATGTGTGCATATGGCGCGGAGCAAAATTGACCTCATTAATGCGGAGTGCTATTACACTGAGTAAAAAACTAACGCCTGGACTTTCAGATATTTCAAAGGTGTCGCAGTATAAACATGATCAATTATTTTTTGAGCGAGGGTCCCAAACACACTGTTAATACTTTGTGTTTTTTCAGGTATACATGTAACTTTTCCTGTGTATATTATTACCTGACAGTCATGAAATGCTTTCAAAAATATATGCTTGTAAATGTAAATATTTAAATGAATAATGCATGTGTAGCAACAAAGACAAGAAATCCTCTATTGTCCAACTTTAAAACGTACAGCACTTGCAAGTTGCTCCTCTGTCATATCTTCCATGAAAAGCGTCTTCTCGCTTGGAGCTTCAGGAAGTGCCTCTGCTGATCCCATGACAAGAAAAGTTATGCCCTTCATTGAAGAAAGGAAAAACAAATCTTAAAATGTTTTGTTCATCATAGTAACATGTTAATTTCTACACTTATGATATTATTAGTAATCCTGCGAGCGCGAGTGGAACACGGAATAATGTAGTGCGTCTGTGTCCCACATACCACGAGGCCGAAGGCGTGATAACGAATTTTTATCTTCAAGCAAACTTGACGCGCAGTAAAGTTGGACCTAGCACGCTTTACACGAACCTTTTAGCGGTTTAGCCCATGCAGCTGGAATGTCGCTCGCATAGAATAGCGCAATACGCAGGGTGCGACATGGACCGTGCAATACAGCCTCATAGCACACTATTGTTGCCATGGAACGACCAATCAGGATTGAGGATTCAAGTTTCCTTGAAGATAATATAAGTTATCCCGCGAGCGTGAGTGGAACGCGGAATAAGGTAGTGCGTCTGTGTCCCATATACCACGAGACTGAATATGTGCAACACAGACTCACTACATTTTCCGTGTTCCACGAGCGCAAGCGTGATAACGAACTTATCTTCAAGCAAACTTGACGCAAAGTTAAGTTGGAACTAGCACGCTTTACACAAACCTAGCGGTTTAGCACATGCAGCTGGAATGTCGCTTGCATCTTGGAATAGCGCAATACACAGGGTGCGATATGGACCATGCGATACAGTATAATATTACACTGTTGTTGTCATGGATCGACTAATCAGGATCGAGGATACGTTTGCTTGAAGATAAATGTTTATATCTAAATAGTGCTGTATTCCACTAAGTTTATCTTCTACATGTGCATAAAGGTGACTAACTACATTCTGATGATCCTTCCTTTTGGGGAAATTGCTAAATATTTTGAAAGGTTCACAAGATACTAAGTGTCAAACATTTAATGTTTAACACTTAGTATCTTGTGAACCTTCCAAAATATTTATCAATTTTTAATATAGTGCAGCCCAAACCTTATTTAGCTAAGTTAAAGCTACAGTCCATCATTTGTAATTTGTGCATTTTGTTCGTTTGAAGCAACAAGAGAGTTCAAAATCTAATGAAGGATACTGATCAACTAACCTGATGAAGTTTCAGCTAAGCTTCAGCTGTACATTTCGAGAAAAACAGCATTCTAAAATCTCAATTTCAAATCAAAAGTTACTAAATCATGTTTTGAATTGTTTTGAATTGCAGCTATACGCGACGTCGCGCACTGATCCGACGAATTATAACAACCGCGCGCGCGTGTGCGTCGTTCCAATACTTGTGCGCGCTGCGCTGAATAACAAAACGAACTACTAATTAAAATTTTCCTACGGTGCTTAAGAATCATCGTTGGAAATGCCTTCTTTCGTTGATTACTTCAAAATGACAACTTCCCAGAAAGAAAAATTTCACAGGGAGTTTAGTTCCCTTACTATCTTTCAACCAAGGTTGTTTTTCAGCAATAATTACGCCAGTTACTTTTTGGATGGCTGCAAATGATGGACTATAGCTTTAAAAGCTGTTCAACACATTTGGCATAGGGGAGCTTATTTTTATATATAAGAAGAAATGAAACTTTTGTAATGAGTTATCTGTTCATGATGCAACAATCTGTTTGTTACGGCATTTAATTTAATAAAGATATCGATTTTACTTTTGTACGTTGGATACATTGGTGCATTTAGATTAAATTATCTGTGCAGCTCATACCTACGAGGCAAACCATTAGAAATACCTACATTTTTAACCTTAAACCCAGACCAAGCTTCCTTGAGAGTTGCGCCTTTCAACATGACCTTCTGTCGCTCAGGTTGAACTCCTGTCAGAGCAAAGATCTGTGCTTTAAACACATCTGGGGACTCATCTAGGCTGCACTCAATGTCGGTGAACTTCTCCTTGCCCCACTTCACGTTCACTGTTTATAAAAAGAAACCAAAAAAATATACAACTGCGATAACAATTGAACATGCATGTAAATACTGAATTTATAAATCACGAGATTACATGTTTCGCCAATGTAATTGATTTGGCATTCAAATTTATGTTTATCCATTCATACAGTTTGTGCATTCATACAGCCGTATGGGTCTTTCCATGAAGTTGGGAAACACTTGTAAGACTTCACATTTTAAAATTACTTGTTGATATACATGTACGGGATCTCTCAATGTAACTAAATTGTTATTGTTATTTTTTATTTTGACTCTTCAACAAAATTTCAGAGCATTTAGATGTTTTCAGCATATTTTAAAGAAAAACAGGTTATGGATGTAAAATGGGCATCAAAACATTTTTGCCATATTTGGGAAGTATTGAATTTTTTTCGCACCAGTTCTCCCCAAAGTAATTACATGAGAACATTACAGACCATTCTTACTAAATTTAAAGAATCGTTATAAATTTAATAATGTCTGTGTGACTCTTTTAAGTTTCGTGTAACATATTTTCTCTTCAGATTTGATGTACTTTCAGGGCCACCCAATCTTTCCAAAGAGATTTGTGCCATGTGCAGTTAATAGTATTCAATAAATGATGCCAAAAATGAGGTGAGTGAACATTGAAATAAATATTGGAAAGATTCCCACATCTGGCCATCACTTGTCACCCTGACATCCCTGAGCACAAACCCTATGAGACTGGTCTGAAAACTTCAAAGTGTTTTTTCAGTAAATACTTCAATATTTTCACTCCTAATTTTGACTTTTTAAGGACATATTATCACTTTTGATGGCTGATAGGTCACTGATATGACTGAAGGGAAAAGTTAGTGATGGCCAGATATGGGAATCTTTCCAAAATATTACTTCTACATTCATGTATTACAAAGATATTTTAAAAAGCAACTTTCGTACAATTTTCGTTAAAAAAATTGGCCTCCGTCCAGTACTCGCGATGGAACCTTCGCCGATGAACGGTAAATTTCCCTTTTCATCCAGATTGTGAGCAACATTCTATACCACCGCCTTAATAAGGCCCTTAAACCTCAAACTTTATTTGTATTTCTGATGGCACAACTACTATTTTTAGGGTAAAATCAGACGTTTTTGTTAAACCATCCATTCGTACTCCCCAAAAGGAGGGGAGTACGAGTTGACCTGGATACGAGTTAACTTGGGTACGAGTTGACCCAAAATCCTCAGGACTATTGTTGATGTACCCGATTTTTCGCTTCTAGTGCCTTGCATTGCAAGAGCAAAAGTCATCAAGCTCTTAACATTCCTGTTCATAAATCGTGAGTTTATCCCTACTTGTTAAAAAAGTTAGCAGAGAAATTTATTTTGGCGTGATTTTCCAATTTTATTTAGAAGTGCAAAGTGAACCCTTGTGTTGAAAATGTGCCATAAAATAAGAAAATAATTTTCTGACCAACTTCGAGTTGGGTAACAGTAAGTACAGATAATAATGGTTCATTTGTAAATCAGAATTTATCAACATTAAAAAAATTCTTAAATGTTGAACTTGCGATTTCCCGAGATTTATTTAAGTGCGCCACGTTAGGGAACACTCTAGCCCAGGTTGGACGAAGTCTTCATTGCAATACGACTAACGTCCAGGGCAAGAATTCTCTACATGAAACCACCCAACATTTTTACCAGAGTTTTGTTATGTTTTACCTCGTTATAGAAGCTTATTTCACGCCTACATACTCTATGTGTCCTTATCTGTTGGGCTGATGGGTTCAGGAATTCCATATGCGATGCTGACTGACATTAATCAGGAAAATAAACTCCAAAGCAGCGTTTAACTTGTACGTGTCTGTAGTCTCTTTTCATCAGTTTATTCCCAGAGTCGTACGTCATGTACAATGTACGTGCGTACGAAAGCGCGTACGCACGCTAGCGCCCTCATTTGTTTAGGTTTGGTTGGAACCGTGACGTCACTCCAGTCAACCAATGTCGCGAAAACGCTCAACCAATGACCAAAGCCGAAACTTGTTTCTGGTAACTGGCGCGAAAACACGCTCGGTCATTGGATTAGCGACCGCGCCTTCAAGTAAGTGCGCGTGCGTATGAGGGTGGTTACTAAGCAAATCCACGTGCGCACTGCATATTCATGCTGCATAGTCTGGCCCCCGGACCAGACGTGATATGAGCGTCGAGAATAATTGCCCGGTCTAGGGAACCAGACTACACGCTGCACAGACGTACATCATGTACGACTAGAATAGACTCGGCGGTGAGAGAAACTGATGAAAAGAGTCTACAAACACGTACAAGGTTAACGTTGCTTTCCAGATTACGGTCGGTCAGCATCGCATATGGCATGTATGAATTCCTGAACCCATCAGCCCAACAGATAAGGACACATAGAATACAACGACGTAAAATTAGCTTCTCCAACAAGGTAAAAATATTGAAATTATTGGTCAGAAATGTTTTCGTTCGGTTTTGAGCACTTTTTACCCAGGACTCCCTCCGTAACGTAGGGAGGAAAGGGAGTCCACCAGGGCTAGGGCAACACATCCGATTTTGCGCCCAAATTCCGGACGCGACCACCTTTGAATTTCAGACTAAATTTCATGACACTGAAATTGTTTACAAAATTAAAACAATAAGCATTATTATGGTAAAACTAAGTAACAGTAATATTTAACTGAATGAATTAGAAGGGAACACCACCTGAACACTACTACCGGTATACCCTACTATTAAAATCCTTCTTCTTCTTCCAATGGACCGATCCAGTAAGCACCGCCCCATGGTATTCTGACCAATCACAGCCGTGATTTATGTCCAACATGCGTGCACAAAAGTCCGACATGCGTGCACGCGCGTATGACGCGCGGCAGGAAAATGCAGTGTGGCATTGGAGAGGAGCACGTGTTATTTTGCCCACGTGCGCAGTGGAAGGGGCTTACTGGATCGGTCCATTGAGTGCTACCTTCATAATTGAAGATAGACCCGTGAATGTGGCGTTGTATACAACGCCACGCGCTTCCCTTGCATAAATACAGGCAAAATCATTATATCTTTTGATCCGCTACATATAACCACGTATAATTTTGCTCATAGGTAAATCACTTACTTGTTAGGCTTCCTGTGAATTTACGCGAGTGTTGGATCTGTCATTGTCAAGAAATTTGAAGTAAAATACGGCACAACTTTGTCACAACGAATGTTTTCAAAATGATCAGAAAATCAAAGACAGGCACGACACTCTGGTACCCCGAGTTCCGCATGCGCAAAACGGTAAGAGTCGTCCTACCAGTTGGTACCCGACTAACAGTCTTACATGGCAGGATGACCGTAATACCATGTAAAATTCTGCTAAATCCACTTCGAAAGTCTGCCAATCACCCAGTATATATTGCTGTTCCATTGTGTAAGGGTTTGTTTCAGGGATCTTTAAAAAACGAAGGTTTTTCAAACCAAATGTGCCCATATTCTCTAATCTTTTTCATTGTCCTTCATCTACATAATTCTGCCGAAAAAAATATTCTGCTGGATTTTCTGTACAACTCATTTTTGTATGCAAATATTCTGTCAAACATAGCCGAAATTCGGCTAGAACGGTCACTCGATCACAGTAACCGTGGATCAACAATAGAGTGTTTTAACTATAGATTGAAACGTGGCTATGTACATACATGTATAGCCACGTTCACAGGTCTAAATTGAAGACTACAGCAAGTTGTAGAGTCCAACGGTTACTTCCTGCCCAATCCAACCAACAGAATCCAACTGTGCCCCACCTGATTCAGAACTTGGCGTTATTT